GAGGGTTGCGATCCCGTTGCCGGTCCCCGGTACGGGCACGACACCGAGGGTTGCGATCCCGTTACCGGTCAGTAAAAAAGACAAAAAAGGGAAAAAAAAGGTAACTAGGACTTTGGCAAAACCAGAATATAGTTTCTTCTATTTATTAAATCCATCATTTGTTATTAACCTTATCCTGAGAATTAGGTTCTTAGGAATAAAACCTTATGTTTAGGGCCGGCCCGGTGGCGCACTGCTACTGTGCACCGCTTGGGAGTGCGGCGGCGCTCCCGCCGAGGGTTCGGATCCAACATACAGACCGGCCGCTCACTGGCTGAGCGAGGTGCGGGCGCAACACCGAGGGTTGCGATCCCATTGCCGGTCCCGGTCCGGTACGGGCGCGACACTGAGGGTTGCGATCTGTTGCCGGTCACGAAAAAATGACAAAAAGGGAAAAAAAAAACCAAAAAACTTATGTTTATTTAAGTCTTTTCTCTAAATGTGCCCTGGACCTTTTACAGAAATTGGCCCTTTGTTCTTGTAGTCCAAATGGTCATGTAATAATTTCCACCAAAAAGATTAAAGGAAATATATGTAAAAGTACTTTGAAAATTCACAGTGCATTTCAAAGAACACTATCGAAAAGTGAAAAGACAACCCGCAAAAGGGGAAGAAGTATTTGCAAATCATATTAGACATAAGGATTTAGTACTCAGAATATATAAAGAACTCTTGCAACTTAACAAAAAGACAACCCAAATAAAAAATGGACAAAGGACTTGAAATAGACATTTCTCCAAAGATATACAAATGGCTGTCATTAGTCACTAGGGAAATGCAAATCAAATCCACAGGGAAATACACTTCACACCCGCTAGGATGGCTACGATTAAATTTTTTTTAAAAAGGAAAATAAGTGTTAGCAAGGATGAGAAGAAATTGGAACCCATTGCTTTTTTTTTTTTTTTTTTTTAAAGATTACCAGTAAGGGGATCCTAACCCTTGACTTGGTGTTGTCAGCACCACGCTCTCCCAAGTGAACTAAGCGGCCATCCCTATATAGGGATCCGAACCCGAGGCCTTGGTGTTATCAGCACTGCACTCTCCCAAGTTAGCCATGGGCCAGCCTAGGAACCCATTGCTGGTGGGAATGTAAAATGATTCAGCTGTTATGAAAAATAGTTTGGCAGTTCCCCCATAAGTTAAACATAGAATTATTATAGAATTCTACTCCTGGGTAGATACCCCAAAGAATTAAAAACAGGTGTTCATATAAAAACTTGTACATGAATGTTCATAGCAGTCCTTTTCACAACAGCCAAAAGGTGGAATCAATCCAGGTGTCCATCAACAAATGAACGGATAAACAAAATGGAGATAGAGATATATACATATATGTACATTCATACACATACACACACATATATATAATGGAATATTATTCAACCTTAAAAAGGAATGAAGTACTAATACATGCTTCAGTGTGGACGAATGTTGAAAATATTGTGCTAAGTGAAAGAAGCCAGAGATAACAGCCACATATTTTGTGGTTGCATGTATAAGAAATAGCCAGAATAGGCAAATCTACAGGTACAGAAGGCAGATTAGAGGTTGCCAGAGGCTGGGAGGAAGGAGAAATGAGGAGTGACTTTCATGGGAACTGAATTTCCTCTGCATGATGAAAATGTTCCAGAACTAGATAGTGGAAATGATTGCATGAAATTATGAATGTACTAATTGTCAATAATGGTAAATTTTATGTTAGGTGTATTTTACCACAGTGAACACAACACACACACCACACCACACCCCCCCCAGTGAACACACGCACGCACGCACACGCGCGCACCGCCCATAGTGGAATTCATAAGTTCTGAGGCAATTTAGAGGTCACACAGAATCAGAAGATCTTAAGAGACAAATCCAGGTTACCTGATTTAGACAGCAAACTTTTGAAAATTACAAAATAAGCATGTTTTCAGTTTCATTTACAGAGAAATTTTACAAAATACTTATGTAAAGAAAGTTTTTTCAACTTGGGGGAAATTGTTTATGATCTGTGTTTAAAAAAATGTAGTAAATTCTATCCACTAATTGGGATATAAATAAAAGTAACATCTGTTAAGCTTTATTGTTTACTTAAAATTCTATACACATTTTCTAATTGTCACAGCCACTTCTCAGAAGTGGGGGTTCTAATTGCAGTTTTATAGATGAAGCAGTTGAAAGAAGTCCAGGTGAATTGCATAAGATTGTGTTAGGGGCTAGGTTGGAACTCAATCTTGAGCCCTCTGATTATAAATCCTGTGCTTTCATAAGTATTAACGGCATATATTTTAAATTGTAACCTTTTTGGGGAGCTAACAGCACTACTGAGATATAATTCACATACCATATAAGTGACCCATTTAGAGTGTACAATTCAGTGGTTTTTAGTATATTCAGAATTGTACAGCCATCACCATTGTCAATTTTACAACATTTTCATCACCCCAAAAAGAACACCTAAAAGCATGCCCATTAGCAGTCACTCTCTTTCCCCTGCCACAACCCACCCAGCACTAGGCAACCACTAACCCACCAATCTTGCAGTCTCTATAGATTTGCCTATTCTGTACATTTCATATAAATGGAATTATAACCATTTTTTTACAGATTTCTTTCACTTATTAAATTTAAAGCAATTCAATAATTTAAATACATAATACCATGTTAATTATTCTAACACAGAAATATATAGTACAAATTTATCTACAGAATCTAAGATAGCAATTAATTCTCTAATGCAGTTTATTTTCCAAGATACATCAACCTGATTATTAGATGATGCTTAAAATATTGTTAAAGAATATATTCTGGAATACCTTCTTAAAGTTAAACATTATTCCTCTTATACCCCAACTGATATTAGCATAGTTTTGTCAAAATCCCTTCACTATTCTCTCCCTCCTAGCCCCCCCCCCTTTTTTTTAATGTTTTATGTAGAATAAGTTGATACAGCACTTCAGGGGAATTAAAGTAGTCAGTGAATGTTTCTTGAGAAGGAGGCTGTAAAGAATATGATTCTCCTAGCCCCCCCCCCTTTTTTTTAATGTTTTATGTAGAATAAGTTGATACAGCACTTCAGGGGAATTAAAGTAGTCAGTGAATGTTTCTTGAGAAGGAGGCTGTAAAGAATATGATTCATCCATATTATATAGCAGAACTGTTAAGAATTATAATGCTGCCTTTTTGGGTAAGCACTAAAATACTGTGAAAACACTGTGAAATTAGTTCTATTTGCTATAATCTTTCATTATAGATACTCTGAACTTTAACTACACAGGTTCAGCAAAGGCAGAAACCACAACACATGTTCACATGGAGCTACTGTGCCTTGCTCTTGGCCAGGCCTTATTTTTTCATGGGGCGGGGGGGGGGGGGGGTGATTTCATTCTGAACTTCTACAAGCTCTTCTAAGAATATAAGTTTATCCAACATTTGTGTTATAATGAATCTCTTAAAATTTCAGGTTAATAGATCCTCAGACTCAAGTATCAAGGGCCAATGTAAGTACATCATACATATTAATGATTACACCTTAATTCACCTTTGTATCCACCTTAAACACAACCTAGGCACTTAATATTAGCCAAATTAAATGACTATCACTAATAGTATACTTTTTTCCATGACTGTTCCATAGAGAATATAACCTTGTCTGTCTTCTGATTACAGCTGTCATGAGATATTCAATCTGTTCCTTTTCTCCTGCCCCCAGTTTGAACTTACCAGTGTCACACAGTTTGCTGCTCATCAAGAAAACAAGAGACTCGTTGGCTTTGTCATCCGCATTCCTGAATCCACAGGAGAGGAGTCTCTGAGCACTTACATTTTTGAAAGCAACTCAGAAGGCGAAAAGGTCTTGTTTTTTTTTCATACTGAGGTTCCACAATATCTCAGTCCAAACAAGTCCATTTTTAAAGGGTTTTTTTGCATTATCCCCATGGATGTTTATTTGATTATTCTGCATGTCTCCATCCAGGAGTTCAAGATAAGCCCTCCTAGGACAGCCCTACCAAAAGAAAACTAACCAGATTAAAATTTACCTGTGGAAAAATACATATCAACCAAAACAGAATGAATGAATGAAGAACTTTAATGGCAAGACATAATTGTTCAGTAGGGATATCAGGAAATATTAAAAATAGTTTCCCCTACATTTGTTCTTTAAAAAAAAAAAAATTTAAAGCAAATGTTACAATGGAGAATAGTCTCAGAGAGCAAACGGAGGAAGAAGACACCAGGAAAAAGCACATCTAAGCTGTTCTTTTTAGTATTAGTATGAAAACTTTGTGACTACATCCACTACTTAGAATTCATCAAAATCAATCCTTTCAGTGTCTGTTTGCCATTGTGTTTATGAACACACAGTGGCTAAATATAGTTGAGAGAGAGGGGAGAGAAATATCCTATATTAAGAGTTTTAGGGGCTGGCCAGCTAGCTCAGTTGGTTAGAAAACAGCCCTAGAAACACCGAGATCACAGGTTCATATACCCGTACAGGTCATCCACCCCAAAACAAAAGCAAACACACACACACACACACATAAAAGAATTTTAAACACTGGAATAACTTAGGTTTTTATTTACCTGCAATATTTTTTGTAAAGCATAAATTGGTAACACAGGAGGTGAGGACAGTTGAATACTCCAAGCTCCATGTGATGAGTCTCCTGAAGCCAGGTCCTGTGTTCCCAGGAGGATGTGAACAGACCACAGTGACCTCACTGTACTCTCGCATCAAAGTTTGTGTAATTTTTATCCTTATCTACCTTTCCCAAACACTACTTTTCTTGTCTTTTGCAGATATGTTATGCTATTAATTTGGGAAAAGAAATAATTGAGGTTCAGAAGGTAAGGTGCATTTTAGTGCTGGTTTAACAACTACTCAAATGACATCTGTATGTATATACTAAGATTTCTATCAAAAAGAAAAGTGGTCACTAGACACTGTGGCCAAGTTTGGGATGACTGTTAAGCATTCTAACCATCAGACATTTTTGATCAGCTGGTTTCATGTTTGTGGGTAACACGTGGACTTCTTAACACCACTGCTGCAGCTCCTGCTTTATCAGTTTTCTTGCTTGCATACTAGTTGGCTAGATTTCCTTTCTTTCATACTGAGAGGTGAGATACAAACTTAAGCACCCACTGTGTGCTCTAAGGCATTGCTTCTCAGAGGATAGTCACAGGACCAGCAGCATTGACAGACGTCACCTTGGAGCTTATTAGAAATGAAGACTCTAAGACCTCCCTGTCTTTTAGCAGCTTACAATCTCACTCATCCAACAAATTTTTGAGAGCCTAGTTTGTGTAAGAAAAACCCTGAAATTATAGTAGTGAACAAGATAGATATGGTCCCTGCCCCCAGGGGCTTCCAGTTCAGCACTGTCCAGTAGAATTTCTGCAGTAATGGAAATGATCTATATCTGCACTATTTAATATGCAGATTGAATGTGGCTAAGGAACAGGACTTTTAAATTTTATTTTAACTAAAATTTAAATATTGGTGCAGTTCAGTCTATTGGGGAAGGCAGGAAGACCAAAGGTAAGACCAACGTACATGAAATAATGACAAGTACTGCAAATTATTTAAAGAGGTCAGCAACCTTTTTATATAAATAAGGGCCTTTACCTTTTAGGCTTACTGTCTCCGTCACAACTATTCAACTTTGCTGTTGTAACAAATAAGCAGCCACAGACAGTATGTAAATAAGTGGGCATGGCTATGTTCTGGTAAAACTTTCTTTACAAAAACAAGTGGTGAGCCTAATGGCCACAGTTAGCCAACTCCTGGTATAGATTAAAAGAGAGGAGAGGTTTTAAAGATATAGAAGACAAAGGTTTTGGGAAGGAAGTTCCTCTACGGACTGTCTTTGGGAAGATGATTGTGAATTAGCTACGTAAATGACATTTTGGTTGAGAGGAAAAGCTTAAGTCTGGATTCTAGAAGAAGTAATGCACTTGAGTTTGTTCAAAGAAGCAAGGAGACCCAGCGGAAGGTACACGTAGTCAAGAGTTAGCAGGAAAGAGGCTAGAAAGGCAAGCCAAGGGTGTTTAAGTGCATCTTAAGCTTTTTCTTTTTTCCCTCTTAAACTCTTGTAACTTCAGGATCCAGAAGCATTGGCTCAATTAATGCAATCCATACCACTAACCAATGATGGAAAATACATATTGTTAAATGACCAACCAGATGACAATGATGAAAGTCCAAATGAAAACAGAGGTGCAGAATCTGAAGCATAATTCACTTTTGCTGTGGGGGAAGAGCACACAGGAAGGAGAGCTACCTCCTTAAGGGTCTTCAACTTCTCTAATACACAGGCACACTGACCTGATTTCAGAATGCCAACGATCGTTTGTGGAATGTACTCTCGATGCCTTGGTACTGAGACTTGGGAGGGAAACAGTAAGAAATGGTTGACCCATGTTCCTACTCATCTACAAATGTTATTTTAGGTGCTTTGTGGTAAGTCCTTTTCTTAGATTACATTGTTCAGTGCTCAGAGTGAAAGTTATGAAAAAATGCACTGTTCATTTGAATTTCATCTCTTTTCAGTTTCCAGTATCCTTTTTAAAAAATGGCAAAAGCCTAGATTTACAATTTGATAAACACTAAATATTTCCTATTAATATAATCTATTTTTGTATTTTACTTAATAAGCTTTAAGTGCCTATCATTCTGAAAATTATGTATTTATAATCCAGCTTGTCTCATAATTGGACCTAATAGCATTCTGCTTTGAGGCCCAAGCACTAGTAGAGATGCAGGTCTAGTTTTGATAATTGTTCCAGACATCATGCAATGAAAAGACTAGCAGATGAGTTCCACAAGAGACATTTAATTTTACAGTAGCACCTTACTGAACCAGCATTCAGAACTTTCAAGTTCCTCCTACATACGATTGTTTTTAGTGGTGTATCACTGTGAACAGGGTGGCAGCTCTACCAGTTCCTGTTTCTTCTGAGCCAGACCCTCAAGGAAGGGACCGATTGATTTTAAAACTCACTTGAAGCACAGCTGGTCATGGGGCTTAGTATAAAGTTCCTATTTCCACCCTGATCCTTCCAGTTCCAAGAATCCCAGCCCACTCTCCCTTCCCTCTCATACCTATGAAATAAGTATAATGATCTTGAATTGAAAGTGTGTTTAACTGTAAACAAGTTCAACAGACTGTCATTACCTTTGTAATAAATTAACATAGCAATAAAAATTGTTTCTTTCTTTGGCTTGTTGTGGCTATTTTTCTAGAACATCCCTGGAAGAAAACTAGTCAGTGTGGTAACTTTGTTAATTTTCAAAAAACTAGGGCATAATGAAATCACAACAAAGGGAATATATTTAAAAAAACCAAAACCAAAAAACCTCTATTAAACATGAATAATGTGATCCTATTACCAAATTTTTAAAAGGTGTTGATTTCAAAATGGAGGATTAATAAAAAAAAAACTTCTGCAACCCCAAATTAGGTTAACTTCAGAGGGTCCAGTTGAAGAATCCACTCCTATCATGACAACATCAGAGACATAGTGAGCTGGTTAAGCCAGTATGAGATTATTTGCATAAAATCATTAGTTCAGTGTTCACTAAAGCCTTACAAATTTGTATTATGTAATTTTATTAGATCCATAGGTTCTCTGACAGTCTGCAAGACCCAGTCCCCTGAATTTTTTTTTTCCCTCTTACTTAGACTTTTTCAGGCATGGCGGGAGAATCTCAAATCCTGAACAATTATAAGGTTATAAGCACTACTAAGACTGTGTGGCTTAAATAAAATACGAAGCATGCAAATCATATGGAAAACATATTTCAGTACATTAAAACTACATAAAAAACACCATGAAAAGAATGTAAATATACAATTAACTGAGCAAAGATACTAGGAAGTACACAAGAACAAAAAATCCAAAATATTTAAAATAATCCTGTAATTAGATAAATTGGGAAAAAAAAAGGCATGGAGACATTTCATAGATTAAAAAATACAAACGGCTGAAGAAAAAAAAATGCTCAATCTCATATAGTAATCAGGAAGTGCAAATTAAAACCACACACATTTTATATTCAGCAGGTTGCAAAAATTCAGCTAGTAGTAGGAGTGGAGCAAAGGGGAACCTCATTCACTACTGGGGTGAGAGAACAGTTTGGCTTTCTATTGAGTGAATATAAAAGTGCACCTGCCCTACCACCTAGAAGTTTCCCTTGTCTCCAGTGACATGTACAATGATGATTACAGTAGCACTGCTCATAATATCCCAAATGTGAAAATAACCCAAATGTTATCAACAGTAGAATAGATAAAATATCTGTACATGTAACAGTGAAACTAAACTACAGCCATATGCATCAATATGGAAGAATTTCAAAAATATGAAGTCAGAAAAGCATACAATAAAATTCCATTTATAGTAAGTTAAAAATGCAAAACATCACCATATTATTTAGGAAAATACAGATAGGTTGTAAAACTAGAGAAAAGCAAAGGACTAGTTACCACCAAACCCCCACATGGCGGTTTCCTCTGGGGGGAGAAACAGCAGGAACTTCTAAGGTGGTGTGAGTAATAGGCTCTTAACCTACGTGGTGGCTTCAAGTGCTTTATTTTCATTCTTTAAATAATACATACATATTATATACTCTTGCATGCATTGTATATTTTAAAATAATTTTTACATTTAGAAATAGTGACTTGTGCTT